TTTATGCCCAGCATGGTGTTGAAGAACTTAGGACAGTGCCTGGTACGTGCTAAAAGTTTAATAGGGGTTAAATGAATGAATAAACAAACTCTCAAAGAGAATTTTTTTTTTTTTGCACCAGACCAAGCTGCCAATCTGAGTACAAGTTAACCTGTTCAAAAAGATGACTTAATTCTCTGTACTTCAATGTCCTCATCTGTCCTGCAGTTCCTGAGAGAAGAGGAATGTAATTGACTCATCTGTTTCTATGACAACCAATTCTACAGCCATCCCACCTTTAATTACTTTGTTCAAAACCTATGCACTGCTATTAACCACTCAGCTTCTCAGCAAACCTGAAACCAGACATCACCACATTCACTCCTACTGCTACTCTTCCCGACACATCAAGACCAAGGCTGAGCAAACTTTCTGTAAAGGGCCACACACAAATATCTGCAGTTTTGCAGGCCATTTGGTCTCCATCACCACTGCTCAACTCTGCAATTATGGGGCAAAAGAAGCCGTACGTAATATTTAGATGAATGACCATAGCTGTGTTCCAATAAAACTTTACTCATGAACTGAAATTTGAATTTTATATAATTTTCATATGTCACAAAACGTTTTTATTTTTCCAACCATTTAAAAATGTAAAAATCATTCTTAGCTCCAGCGCTGAAATAAACAGGTGGCAGGTTAGATTTCCTTAGTGATCCAAACCTTTTCCCACTGCTAAAAAGCAGCACTGAGAGCTGAAAAGTACTTTCTGAAAAAAGGTTCTGCAGAATCAGCTGGCTGACTTCTCTCTCCTCTTCTTGCTTGCAATTTTAACTTACAAATAATTTGAAATCAGAAGAACTGAGATAGCGAGGACTATGAAACTCACTTGTTAATATTTAATCATAGCAGCGCTGACTGATAAAAAATGTTTACATATCTTTTAAAAATTACATTAAAGTTTTCTCATTATACAGAGACAATTTCTCTATCAATCTTAACTGACATGCAATTTTACTTTCTTCCCTCTATCCTCCTGACCTCAAAATTTGTTGCCTGAATGAATAAAATGCAAGTATTAATAGAAGCAGTGACCACTGGTCTTCCTCTATAAAAATTGATATTTTTAACTATATAATATTAAAAAGATTAACAATACTGGATTTTAAAAGGCTGGCAAGAAACATATACCCTTGGTGGTTGTATAAATAATTAATAGTACAATCCTTCTGGAGGGAAAACGTTTGGCAAAATTTATAAAAAGTTAAAATGTATATAACTTTTTGACAACATTTATACTTCTAGAAATTTAAGAAAACAGACAAGTCAACACATATTTATATACAGTGAGTTTTATACTTTGAAGAATTATTTATAATCATAAAAACATTAAAATAATTTAAACGTCCAACATAAGGCTTGGTTAAATAAATCATGAATAGTATACAATGAAATTCTGGGTAGGCGTAGGAATAATGATGTAAATAAGCCAGGTGCAGTGGCTCGCACCTGTAATCCCAGCACTTTGGAAGGCTGAGACGGGCAGATCGCTTGAGCCCATGAGCCCGTGAGTTCAAGACCAGCCTGGGCAATATGGTGAAACCCCATCTCTACCAAAAATACAAAAATTAGCTGAGCATAGTGGCACAGGCCTGTACCAGCTACTCGGGAGGCTGAGGCAGGAAGACCACTTGAGCCCAGGACGCAGAGGATGAGCTGTGAACATGCCACTGCATTTCAGCCTGGGCAACAGAGCAAGAACCTGTCTCAAAGAAAAAAAAAAGGAAGGAAGGGAGGGAGGGAGGGAAAGAAACAATAACGTAAATAAGTAGTCCACATAGATATGTCCACAAGATACTGAAAGAAAAAAAAGCATTATAAACTGCATGTACTGTTTGATCTCAATTGTAAAAATTTCTACATACGGGTTGTAAATGTACCAGTGTATATGTGAGGCTGAAAACAGAGAAGCAGCGAAGCAAGGAGTTAAAAGAACGTTCAGGAAGATGTTCACAGTGGTTGCGCCTGGATGGTAGGAGTTTCAATGATTTTTATGTTCTTGTATATATTTTTCTGTATTGTTTCTATTATGTTGCAGTGAGCATGTATTAATTTTAAATTTTAAAAGGTTTATTAGAACATATAACACAAAGAGTGACCGCTAATGTAAACTGTGGACTTTGGGTAATAACGACGTGTCAATGCGGGTTCATAGGCTGACAAAGGCCCCACTCTGCCACAGGAGGTTCATAGTGGGGAAGGCAGTGCATGTGTGGGGACAGCGGGTATTTGGGAACTATCTGTACTGTTTGCTCAATTTTGCCATGAACCTAAAACTGCACCAAAAAAAAAAAGAAACGAAGTGTATTTTAAAAAAAGAGAAACAAAGCTTACTAAAATAATTCTTATCCAAGCAATTCTAAAGTTCTGTTAATTAGAAGCAATTTGAGTCCCATAAAAGTACATCTAAAAGGCTTTTATCAGAGGTGGTTTTAAAATACGGCAGATTCCTCGGCGCGGATGGGGAGAGTCAAGAGAACGAAAACACCAGGTCCTGAGCGCCAGCTAGCTGGTGGCTCCCTGCCAGAAACCCATCGAAGAACGCGCTCTCCTTGTGAGAACCTATTTTGTGCATTCACCCTGAGGATACTCTACTGTTCCTCTCCTGTTATTTCTGATTTAACAGAATGTTTTCAGTGAAAGCTTAGAGAACTTAAGACTGGGTTAGATAATCAAGGGCTCAAGGAGAGCAATTTAACACTTTGTCTTAGATTAGCTTTAAGATGGAATTCTGGCTGGGGTCTAAGACCCTGCTGCTAAAAGATAAGATGGTCTTAGGGGATTTGATGGAAGAACAAATACCCAAGATGAGATTCTGATGATAAGCCATTCCTGTTACATTAATACAAGGCATTCTGATGCACGTCTGAGGGTAAGAGCAGAGTTGGAATAAATTAATGGGAAACTACTAAGTCTTACCTCAATGTTCATTTTGTTCTAAGAAATATTTACATTATAATTTATACTTCCTTTGCCATATACAAACTTACACATGTATGTCACATCTATTGACTTTTATTTTAACAGAGCAAAAGGCTTACAGGTTTCTATAGCAAATGTATACTTTGTAGTCAGAACTACTTGAATGAGTTTTTTTTTAATTGCAGGAAGACAAAAGCCACCCATGATAAGAACTAGGACTCTTATCAAGGATTTGCAAACTCTAGTAGTACAGTATATAAGAAGTAGCTTACATTAACAATGGGATGTTAACAGGTTTATAGAAGAAAGTCTAATAAGTCATGGTTCCAAATTCTCAACAACTATCAAGTCATACTATGTATGAATCTCAATGCAAATGAAGCTTAATTTACAAAAAGAACTATTAATAAATGATACGATATGCCCAACAACATCAAGTTGTTACATGGGATAAAACAGGTACTACTAACTTAAGTTTAATATTGATGGCACTTGTTCAAGATTAGCGTTATCAACACAGCACTAGAGTAAGCAGTTTCTGGTTCCCTGACATTATTCTCACTAAACGTAGTGCTAAACCTGGTGAGCAAATTTGTTACTTTCCCTTGGGAAACATCTAAAATTAAAAATGCAGTTTATTTGGGAGAATAATTTTGTGTTCAAGACATTTTTAATCATGCAGGCATTATCTTAACATTTTTTGGCCAGGCAGCTTTTCTACAAACACAGAACTCTTACACCTCAAAAGTGGTGAAATAACAGAATGCAATGACTCTTGTGGTAAATCCTCATTTCCTAAGACACCCCCCTTTAAGAGTCAGAAGATACATTATAACAAATTCATAAGAAACAAAGAACTCAAAATTATTGGGAGAAACTGTCGGATTTTTTGAGTTGGGAAACAGCTTAGAGCATGAAGAAAAATAGCAGCGTACCTCAACCATACAAATGCCACAGAACTTCTTGATGAAAAGTGTCCACACATTTCCTAGCCATATTTTATTTTTAGGCTTTTATATGTTAATGTATAAAAAACAGATGTGATTCAATTTCAGACAATCTAATAGGAATGCTTTTCCTCACCAGCCAAAAACTTAACTTGTTTTGAAAAGGAGTCACACCATGGAGCTCCTTTAAGAATTCAGGGGGCTTCTAGGGGGCACTGACTTGAACTAAATTCATCACAAATGCTGAATTCCTATGCAATACCCCAGGGAACAACAAAAGCAACAATGACAAATTTGATCTTCACAACTATCCTAGGAGATATCTTTTATCTCTGTTTTTTAAACTGAGGGTTTTCTAGCCCAGAGGTTATATACCCTGCTCCAAGTCACGAAGCTAGAGGTAGGATTTGAACTCAGGCAATGCAATGAAAACCTTAACTGCCTCCCAGTGAGGCAGGGAGAGATGCATTCTAGTTCTGCATCTACAGGCCTCTCGAGTGGAGCCCCACAGAGAAGGAGAGCTCAGCTCTGTCTCCTGACTGCTTCCCCTCTCAAAGGAGCGTGCAGATGCCCTGCTGTCTTCCAGGATTGCTCGGAAAACATGAAATTAATAGATGAAAAACTCCTGAAAAATTACAAGCCCTATATATGTGCCATATGCTAAATATATCCAACTCTGAATCTCCTAGCAACACCGAAATTACTTTCTAAAATATAGAGAAGAACCTAACAGTGCTTTCTTTGCAGCCACCATAGTGTCTTTTATGGGGTTTATCTGGAAGCCTGTGAAGTGACAAACCATCGAACAGGAAGTCAAAGTCTTAGTTGCAAAGCAAAACACCTTAGACACGGCAATATAAAACATGGATTTGACATTTATTGTTGAGGACAGCCAAGCAGTTTCAAAATACAAAAGCATATATAAATAGCAGTCTGTATCCAGGGAAACACATTTTCTCTTTAATAAAAATATTCTTGATTTTAAAGAACACATTAAAATGATTGTTTTAATTGCAAAATGTCAAATTCTGAGAGAACAGAATAATTATTTCATAAAACTCTGAAAAACAAAGAATCAGAATTACTTCTTACCTCCCACATGTATACATTATTCTTAACCTGAGATCTTTTTTTCTTATCACCAACAAATGGCCCAAATTTTTTGCCTTTTAAAATTGGTTTAGTGGCCCAGACACCTAGAAAATAAAATCAGTATTTTTATAATGTATCATGGTTATTTTAAAGATTGAAACCATTAAAATCAATTAAGTTTCACAAAATAGGTAAAAGGCTAGACTGCCTAAATCAAGCTAATGTTAAATAGCCTGAGATCAAGTTAAATTAAGTCAAGTCCTCAATGGGGATTTTTATTTTTCTTCTTTATACTCTTCTAGAAGTTCTATAAAGAACCTACATTGTTTTATAATTAGAAAAAAATGTTGTATATATTTTTTAATGTTTTACATGTAACACTACCCATACAGTAGGATCACAAATACTTGAATAACAGTCACAACAACTGAAGAGAAAAAATATTGGAATGGAGTGAAACTACAACTGATTTTTAAACTCCTCTGTCTGCTTGTCTGTAAAGTTCAAATTGTCCCTAATGAACATGACTTGTTCTTTTAAAGGGTTAGAAATATAGTTTTATGAATAAATATTTTTGAAGTTCATTTGCTTAAAGTAGAAAACGCTTTCCTGCCTAACTAAGCTTCCTGAAAACTTAGCTACTGGAACGGCTCACTTTTCAGTTTCTAACAGCCAAAATAGCTGTTCATCCACAGTATTCTTAGGGTTATTTCTATTTACTATGCACTGACCATAACAGAAAGAGATTTAATGAGCAAGCAGGCAGTGAAATGGCAGGAGTCTGGCCCAGCAGTCAACAAACTGGCACACAGCAGCACCTCAGATCGGTTCCCTCACCTTTTGGCTTCAGTTTCCTCATGTACGGAATGGGGGGTAAAGGCTGGGCCGGTCCTATCCTGCTAGGATGTACAAATCCCACTTTTCTGTAAGTCTGCTATGAACTGCATTTGACAACAACACTAACAATCAATTAGTTGAGCTATAAAATCAACCACTTTCATTTGAACAATATATTCAAACTGCTCAATGAATAAGTTTCCAATGAGAATTTTTTAAAGCATGTGTTAAAATTTTTTCACACACGTGTACATATAAATTGGAGTATCGGAAGTACATCTAAAAAAAAGAAACAGGGATATAAATATGATGTATTCCAAGACTGTATTTTGACTAAAGTTTTACAATTCACTTCCTTAGCCTTCTGTCTAAAGATTAGGCCACAAAAAGACCAAACACACACAAGCTTGGTTTGTGTTCAAGGAGAAATCCCAGCCAGAAGAATTTAGATACACTTACAGCATGTCATTCATTCAAGTATCTACTGAGGGTCCACAAAGTGTCTGGTACTGGAGGCACAAACATACATAATAAATAAAGGCACAAGAAACAACAGGGCCAAGTGTAAAAATAATTACAAAACAATGAAGTGAATATAATGGCACAATCATGCTCATCATGGTGAAATCAGAGAGAAGGGAACAACACATTCTGTGGGGCGAGGTTCAGCAACGAGACTCATAGGAGGAGGACACTTGGGCAAGTCAAGAAGGATGGGACGTGTGTGTGTGTGTGTGTTTTCCCAGTTTTATTTTTACAACCCATGTCCAACCTGGATTCTTGACTGGAAAATGCATCAACACCATAAAATCTTCTAAGTCAAGGGTAAATCCGCTGCTTTTATGGTGTGCTCCCTACCTGACATGCCCCTGCAGGAAGCCGCACTGCCACCTGCTCTTTACTGCCTGACTTGCTCCGGGACAGGAGGAGTACTCACCAATCCGGGTCTTGTCAACAGCAGAAGGGAAAAGCCTCACTTCCTCCGGAAGTCCTCGCAGCACATGTTCGGGTACCTCAGCCAGGGTCTCGGTGGCCACCGCAGGCTCAGTAGCGTTCTGCAAGTCAAGAAATAGAAGGATCGTAGCAAAAGAAAGAAAACCCAAATCGTGGGGTTGTTTTTTTTTCTGGTTCAATAAGCAAATATGCAAAAATGTAATCGAAACCTGAAGCTGGCAAGCCAGACCAAAACGATGATGTCAAGCATTTGAGGAGCTGCTTTGATGCTTGTTTGTAACTGTCCAAAGGAAACCACTGCAGCCTTCAAGCATGTCTGTGTTACTCTATTTTGTTCCAGCCACCTGTGGCCATTTGCAAAACATGATAATCTCTGGCACCATACTGCTTTAAACTCAAATAGAATCTGGCAGCAAAATATAGCATAAGCTTACTTCTAAATCAAAGGCTACCATCAGTACCTTAGCACATTTAAAAAATAAAAACCAACACTGCCCACTTCAATGAATGCTTTCAGCACACACCACAAAGGCTACTGGGGCCCTCCAACCCTGCCCCATCCATGTTGCCCTCCAGCAACAACCCCTAACTGGATGGGGGCTGAATATTCCATTCCAGAACATGACAACTTATTGTGGTCCCTCACTGCAAGTGCCACCTTTCCAGGAAACAGTAATTTACCACTGTTCACCAAGTCACTAAACAGCAAAATCACCAGGGTATCACCGAGTTGCTAAGAAACAGAGAATTTTTTTAAATTACTTTTCAAAGTTCACGCTGGAATTCATAATCTTAAGAAAAGATTACTATTAGGTACGTATGTAAGGAAGGGAGAGATTTGAGCCAACTGGTAGAATATGACTGTTATTTTTTGATAACTTTCAAATCAAAGGAACACCAAGGGTCTAGTAACCGGTACATCATATATCCTACGGAGCTGATGTGCTTATCCAGTCTAACTGATGTGCGTATCACGGCACTGCTAAGAATGATAGGCTTTGTAGTCTGAGTGTGTTTCATTTCACTGCACAGGGAAACATTTCTCCAGAACTTTTAAAGGAACCAACATAAGCAAAAGTAAACCCCCAAACAAAAAAGATCAATTTTTCCCACAACAATGAAGCTCTTGTCGTCCTCAAGAATATACGTACAAAGAATAGAATAGCATCCAAACTGGTATACTCTCAGCAGTTCAATTTTTGGTTTACTAATTATCAACAGTCTACTTCAAGAGAAATAAATCTCACAGTCACAAACATGGTCATCTACTCTCTGGCCTGCTTCAAGCTGGAGAGCCCAAGACAGGGCATCTAGAGACAGGTTCGTCTCTCGTGCAGAGCCGAGCCAAATGAGCCTGCATTTCAGACACAGAAATGCTTTGTTCCTGCTTGATTTACACCTTTGTCCCAACAATATCCCCGAAACATTGTCAAAACATAAGATAGCCAATTAGCCCCAGAAAATGGTCTTACTGGTACTTCCAATTAGCTAAAGTGTGAATAAAGTAACTACAGACATTTTGTGTCCCCGTTTTTAAATTCTTAATCTATAAGCTGGATTTTTGGAAATGTGAACAATTTATTTCCAAAGAGGGAAAAGGTATTACATTGGTAGTTGCCATTGGCATCCTAAGCTACATAATGATTATTTCCTAACACTGATAAAGTAAGTGACATTAACAAATATTAGCCAGAGTGATGTCCTATCAGTACTGGCCATTTAGTAAAGTAAAAGGGGGTCTTCTTCTTCCGTCTCAGTTGGGACCCTAGGCAAACACGCAGCACCATTTATTCTCCCCAGAAGCACAGCCGATTTCAAAAGTCACCGTGTCTGCTAACCTAAACGGATACTTCCAGGCACTTTCACAGTGATTCTAATGACAACTTCATATTTACTGAGAACTTCCTTGCTCAAGGCACTGTGCTGTCTTACATGCTGGGGAGAATTTACTCCAAATAGCCCAAGAAACAGGTGTTATCAGTGTCTCCCCCTCTCCACACAGAGCAGGGAATTAAGAGCTTACGGACGTTGCTTAAATGGCTCAAAGCCTGGATCTGAACCCGTATCTGTCCGATCTGAGTACGTATGGTCAGTCCTAACCATCATGGAGTTTTCACTTAAGATTCTGCTGGAATATCATCTAAGAACCTCTGCCCTAAAACTTCCAGATTTCCATGGAAATGTCAGCAGGAGATGGTGCTTAAGGCAGGAATGGTCATTCCCATAGGAAATGTGTAACTTCAAGTTGGAGATCACGTGTATTAAAATTTCTGAAGCACCCGAGAACATAAAGGACCTCAGCAGAGAGGCCATGGGAAAAAGAAATACCAAAAAATCCTATGCATTTGTTTATCTGTTTTAAGTCAACCCATTATTTTTGTCTTTTTTTTTCTTTTAAATTACTCTTTTATTCCACATCTTGTCCCAGTAGACCCATTGGTTTCCCAGTAGAGGAAAGCTTTTTCTGTTATTGTTGTATCCTTCACACTACAAAAGGACCGAACTACAAGAGGAGCACCTCAGCTCACAGCAGCACAATCCAGACACTGGGCAGCCCCAGGGCCCTCCCTCCCTTCCGCCCACACCCCCACTGGGCTCTCCATGGCCGTGGCTATGGCTGCAAACTGTCTAGAACATTTCTAGAAAATCAATGATTTGAGGAGTAGAAAGTACACTGGACTTCCTGAATAGTCCAGTCTACTAGTAAATAGTCCAGTCTACTAGAAAGTAGGCTGGACTTCCTAAATAGAACCACCCTCTTTTCTTGCTTGGTTCTCCTTCATAGCTCTTACCACAGTTTTAAATGCTTATTTGTATAGCTCTGTGTTTACTGTGTGCCTCCTCTGTGAGACTGCAGTGAAGACAGATGGTGTCTATCTTATTCAATGTTGTGTTCCCCCAGCTTAGCAGTAGATTTCAAATGTTTGTTGTCACTTAAATACTTGAATGAGTGCATGGCTCTTTGTAAGCTAACTTAAAGCTTTTTCTAAAAAGCAGGGATAGAAATAAATAAAAGAGCAGGGTCATCTATCAGGAAGTATCTTCTCCACATGAGCCTGAATTTCTTGAATTTGAGGTAGGTATTCTTCTGGATCAATATAAGAAAGCTTTTTTAGAAAATGTGGTATGCCATTAATTCCAAGCAATCAATGTACAAGTAAACCTTAGGAACAAAGGAATGTTTTCAAAAAGTTCTCTCCCCTACATACTCATAAACTGGGATCTCTTCTTGGTATATATCCTGATAGGATTAGATGTAATATTATATCTAAATGGGTTCATCTTGATTCTTACACTAAAGAATCACAATTTGATCCTGGCACTATTTCCCAGATTGATCTTGTCTAAAATAAATTGCACCATCTACTCTATATATTTATTTATATATTTCCGAATCCCTGCCATGGGCCAGGCAATGTTCTAGGCAGCACACTTGTCTCAACAAGGCATCACTCTGGTGAGAAATAGAGACAAAATTAAACACATACATACAACGGCTGATGCCCTGTAGAAAACTCAAGCACAAAAAAGGGGACACATGCCTTCTGATCAATGGCGAATAAAAAAAAGAGGGGAATGTCGGGTGCAATGGCTCACGCCTGTGATCCCAACACTTTGGAAGGCCAAGGCAGGCAGATTACCTGAGGTCAGGAGTTCGAGACCAGCCTGGCCAACATGGTGAAACCCTGTCTCTACTAAAAATACAAAAATTAGCTAGGCGTGGTGGTGGGCGCCTGTAATCCCAGCTACTCAGAAGGCTGAGGCAAGAGAACTGCTTGAGCCCGGAAGGCAGAGGTTGCAGTGAGCCGAGATCGTGCCACTGCACTCTAGCCTGGCTGACAGAGCGAGACTGTCTCAAAAAAAAAAAAAAAACAGGAAACACAGTCACGGAGTCATGGAATAGGGATGGGGATGCCTTTTCAGACAGACAGGTGAGGCCTCTCCAGAATTAGAAAGGAAATCTGTGACAATATCGGGGAAACATGCCAGGAAAAGAAAACAGCCAGGACCAAATCTCAAATTAAGAGGAAAAGCAGTATCTGGGCAAAAAGACCGATGTGTCCAGAGCAGAGAAGTTGGGAGAAGCAGCTAGAACTGAGGCAGGAGGGGCAGGCAGGGGTACGGCCTCTGAGAAACACTCATCGCCATTCACTCGTCTACCCATTCGCGGAGTAGAAGTCATCAAGCAGAGAGCAGAGAGCAGATCGCAAGCTCTGCAAGGCACCCCAACTGCTGGCGTTCCCAGCACACCTCATCCTTGCTGCCCCTGAATAGAAGTATGTTCCTGTCTTATGGGTTTTTAACACTGATTACTGTGATATGAAAGAAGCTAAAGGACTTCTCTGCTTCCCTGTTAGTTGACCTCAATGAGGACTCATTATTTGACTGCTTAATGAAGTACAGTCTTTAAACATGTATCAGTGAACGGATCTGGAACAATAAGTATTAAATTTAACATGTTAAATTTAAGTCAATTTAATGTCATTTAGTTATTAACTATTAATTGATCTCATTAATCCGATGTTTCCAACTTCCTACCTCAAACTCAGAGAAAGTCACTACTCGCTTCTCTTCCCCCAATTAATCGCCAAAGCCTCCCTCCTTCATTCAGCCCATTCGTCAGACACTAACACATACTCCCTGAGTGTCTGCTCAGAGCTAGCACCATGCTAGGTGGTAAGGATCAAGGACCCCCTCCTCATGAAGTCCACTGGCTAGAGAAAGAACTTCTCTGTTCCTGCTCCCTGAGATAAGAAACCTTAGAGAGATTTTGATTCATGAGGTTTGACCTTGCTAGGGAGCCTCTGAAGGGCCTTTCTACTGCTTTCCTGATACATTTCCTCTGACCCAGGATGACCTTCCCATGCTGGACGGGGTGAGGAGCTTAGGGAGTACAACATGTATTCCATCCTCCGGGCCAAGATCTGTGCTAAGCACTTTACATGCATTACCTCATTTAATCCTCACAACAATAACAATCACAACTAACACAGATGGAGCGTTGGAGATACGTCAGACACAATTCCAAGCACTTATCACCTCACTTAATCTGCACACTACCAATTGCTATAGGTACTTTTATGATCCCCATGTTACAGAT